TGTTGTTTGGCAGGCCCAGGTTGGATTTGAACCCGGCAGCTCCACTGTATGTGGCTGGTGGCCTAGCCACTGAGCTACAGGCGCCCAGCCAATACTAACAACTTTTAACTGCTTACAAAGTAATCTATAAAATATCTTAAGGATAGAGAATATACTGTATAATCCTTACTTAGTTTACCACTTAATTTTGTGAAGATTTTTTTTTTCTAGGGCTGGATTTGAACCCACCACCCCTGGCATACGGGGCTGGCACCCTACCCTTTGAGCCACAGGTGCCACCCAGTTTTGTGATGTTTTAACATGTTGCCATGCTTGATTCACATTTTTTCTAAAGAAAACATTTAAATTGTAGTTAAAAACTTTATCATATTACATACTGCTATGGTTTGAGTGTTTTTGTCTCCTTGCGTTGAAAACGATATGCAATGCAACAGTGTTGGGAGGTGGAGCCTAATGGGAAGTGTTTAGGTCCTGAGGCTCCAGGGGCAGGGGCCTGTAGTCCTAGCTACTTAGGAAGCTGAGGTGGGAGGATTACTTGAGCTCAGGAGTTGATACTTTGTCACCCCACCTTCCTCCCCCTGCCCTGCCAAAAAAAGAAAAGGGCTTGTGGGAATGGTTTCACTCTCTTTTTGCCCTTCTACCGTCTGCCATTAGAAGACACAGTAAGAAAATTGTACTTTGTGTGTTTTGTTTTGTTTTTTAAATTTTTGGCTGGGGCTGGGTTTGAACTCACCACCTCAGGTACATGGGGCCAGCGCCCTACTCCTTTGAGCCACAGGCGCTGTCCCAGAAAACTGTACTTTGATCTTGGGTTTCTCAGTCTCCAGAAATAGAAGAGAATAAATTTCTGTTCTTTGGAAATTAACCAGTCTCAGGTGTTCTGTTATAGCAGCACAAAATGAATTAAGACACACACATAGTCCTGTTTCCCTTACTCTCTTCCCAGAGTTAGTCCCTTTAATTTGGTATTTAACAGTCCTCATACTTATTTTTATGTCTTTACCACACAGAAGTGTGCCTAGAAACAACATATAGTATTATTTTAC